TGGAAGATGCGTTGGTTGTATTTGGACAGTATGAGAAAGATTTGTTGAGCGAAATAAAACGTGTATCTAGTGATATTTAAAGCTTCGGCTAAAGACTGGAGCATATATAAACGCGCATATGGTTGCAACTGAAGTACTGAATAGTAGAGCTTCGTATAGGTAGGCCACCGCAGCTGTATCTAGAAAACAAAAGACGGCTTTGAATAAACGCGGAAATAGTGCTATGCCATTTATGATTATGTGCGGAGGAACATACTCGGGATCGGTTTCCAAGGCGATCCCGAGGTGTGCTATGAACATGATGTGTGTATATGCGCTAATTTCGCGGCTCAGGGTAGAAAGCTGTCGAAGTATTTTCATAGAGTAAGTTAACATCCAACTCTTACTTCTATTTCGTGTCAAGATAAAGTAATTGACAATAGGAAAAGCTGTTATTACTTTTGATGTCGAGGACCGCCACGTCGTGGGTCCGCGGGATCAAAAGTGATGGAGTAGATGTGACGAGCCCGGCCCTTCAGAGGAGCATTATGACTTAAGTAGTGTGCACTGCCATCATCTTCTCTTCCAACCACCACTTCTTCCTCCTCTTGTGGGGCTCCAATGCGCACGCCCTCCGTTTACAGCCAGGATGACCCCATCACGGCTGCCCTCCAGCCCCCGGCCACGGAGACCGAGCAACAGCGCTACTTGCGTCTCGAAGCCGAAGCAAATGCAAAGCGCGTTTCGGAGCAAATCGACGAAGATCTCAAGCAAGAGCGGGAACGCCTAAAACGAAACAAGGACGATATAAAGGTAACCCGCCCAGTCTCTGGGTGCGCATATACTAACTCGCGGATGTCTTCTTGGCTTCCTTCAGCTGCTTCTCCTCGGTCAGGCCGAGAGCGGAAAGTCTACCCTGCAAAAGCAATTCCAACTCATGTACAAGCCCAATTCCCTCGATCAGGAACGCATTTCTTGGAAAACTGTCATCTACTTTAACGTAGTCCGCTCTTTAAAGCACATTCTAAACACGCTGGAGGCATGGGACGACTCTGCAGACGACGAACCAGACTTTTCTCCGGACCCCTACTCGCGATCGAGAGGAGGCGGATTCGCAGATCAGCCTTCCCCATCGCCATCTCTTGTGAACCCTCTGACTGCAAATGGGTCTCCTTCATCCTTCACCGCTTCTTCCTCATCTACGAGTAATTTTGCGACCTCGCCCAGGGATAACGGTCCAATACAGATCGCTAATCTCCGACGAAGATTATCACCTTTGGTCGCTACTGATGCTCAGCTCGCCGATCGCCTAAGCGGAGGGATTACAGTGTCAGGGTCTGGCAAAGGCGGCGTTTTCGTTCGTAGCGGCTGGCAAGCTCGAACGATCGAAAATGCTGTAGGGCGAATCAGACAAAGGAGGCAAGTGGATAACGGCCACAATGGCAAGGGTCGCGACAGCCTAGATCCCGGACAGGATATCTTGGTTCAAGATGTTGCACAAATGCTAAAGGCTTCGGAACGGGACGTCAAAGAATTGTGGAACCACCCCACCGTCAAGGCGTTGATGGCGAAGCGAAGATTAAAATTGGATGAATGGTCTGAATTGTAGGTTGTGCGAAGTAATTGGGTGCATGCTTCTTTGACACGTTGCCGCTCTATGTACAGCTTCCTGAAGCACATTTCACGGGTTGCTGATCCGGACTACATTCCCACCACGGGTAAATACTTCAGGTTTCAATCGCACAGCATTTAACGGACTCATTTTCAGACGATATCTTGCATGCCCGAATTCAGACAATGGGTGTTATGGAACACATTTTTGATGTTAACATCCATGGCAAAGACGTTACGTGGCATTTGTTTGACGTTGGAGGTGCAAGAGGGCAACGCCATTCATGGGTTCCATACTTTGATGATGCAAACGCCATCATTTTCCTCGCGCCAATCAGCGCTTTCGATCAGGTAAGCTTCTGCAGAAGGTGCTGCCGTTATTGTTTGCGAATCGTGATCACTAGTACCTTGAAGAGGATCCCCGAACGAATCGGATCGACGATTCCCTTCAGTTGTTCACGCAGATTTGTTCCAACCGCTTGCTTAAAAGTGTACATTTGGTGCTTTTCCTGAGTAGGTTTGACTGCTCTACGTTCCGAGCAGGATACTGAATTTTTTCTTCTCGGGTGGCAGACAAGACTGATTTATTAAAATCCAAGCTGGACAAGGGATTAAAAGTTCGGAAATAGTCAGTGATAAACCTTGCAACGTGAATACTCGACAATCAGCTGATTAAATGCAGCATCACATCGTTCGGGGAACGATCGAATGAGTACGAAACTGTCGTGCAGTACTTCCGCGCCCACTTTTTGCAAGTACATCGGCGGAACAATGAAAATAGACGTGTTTTATATACGCATTTTACCAACGTTACGGTAAGAAGGCCATTATTAGAACAAGTGTATTGGTTTTATATCTGTAACAGGATACCAAAGCAACGCAACGTATCATTGGTAACGGTAAGACGTTTTGACACAGCTGTCAGCCACTATGATTGACGATCGTAATAGTCCGCGATTCGATATTTCGAGGATATCTCCAGTCGGCTGCTCTCGTGTAATTTGCATTATCCCATTGGCCCGTGTGTATTGCTGTGTTTGTATTGTTTTGCGTTTTCGATTTTCTCGGTTCGGTTTTTTTTTGCTTGATGCCAGGTGGTGTACAGTACTTACTATATACACTCGTTGAAAGGCGCACAATTTGTTTTCTTAAATACCTTAGAGCACTGTAGTTAATATAATGTTGTGATGTGTAACAGCCGGGTGAAGCACGAGGAGCATTACGGCATCACGAGACGGCTCAGTTGAGTTTCTTGAGAGATTTGCGTCAATGATGGCATGTGATAGTAAACAATCTCGAGCGGGATTGTGGCTGGAGTACAAGACGGTCTCTGGATGCCATGACAAGCGTGGGCGTTGACAAGCGTAACTAGACTACAGCCAAGTCATAAACGGAGGTGGACGACTCGAGACGGCGGAAGCGGAAGAGCGGAGGAGAACCAAATGCGGAAGGTGAGCCGGTTAAGAGAGCCCCTCTGTCCGTCTCTTCCTAACCCAATGGAATCTCTCCTCTCGCCCCCAGAAACCCACGTAATTCAATCCTTCCTCGCTTCAATAGACGGCCCTACCAATGATTGGGCTCTTTACTCTGCTGGGAATCCCGACGACGTAGCCGACGTTCCTATTCCTCAGGCCCAGGGACGCGAGGCATTAGCAAAGGCGACCAAGGAGCTCATGGCCCTTGATGCTGATCGCTGGCAGACAGACTTTGCTTCCCACAATTACTTACACCATACTCCTCGTCGTCCACATCCACAACAGCAACACCACCCATACGAATTTCATCGTCAGCAACAGCAGATCCACCACCATCAGATAGGAGACCACCACCATAACCACCACCACCACCAGCACGCGTCTATTTCCCATGATCCGTTTCCTTATATGCAACCCCACAAGCATTCGCTGTATCCCCTACCACTCCACCAGCAACCAATACAAGATCCCTCACAGCCCGTGCCAGACGCGCACCATTTGCGTCCGCTAACCGTACCCTCCTCGCGCACGGATGGACACGGACCGCACTCTGCCAGCCCACCAACGAGCACTGCGACTTCTTCCGCAGCCACGACCCCCAGCACGACCACCCCCACACCCATATATGCGTTCAGCAGTACGTCATCAGTCGTAAACGAGGCGCATCCGTCACCCCAGCCAACCTCTCCTAGACTGACCAAGCAACAGGCAAGTCATCTTGTGATTCCCATTACGTTGGTTTTTATATTTTTAAATTCTTGTTTCTTTCCCACAGACGCCGTCTCTCAGCGTGCAACCTCCCGCGGGGCCGAAACAGAATTTGTTGTCGCCTTCTCAGAAAAAGGCGAATCATATCCAGTCTGAGCAAAAACGGAGGGCGAATATTAAGAGAGGGTATGATGCGCTTTGTGAGACTGTGCCTGCGTTGCGGGAGGCTATCCTAGAGGAGGAAGGGCGAGAAGCGGAGACGAGGGCAGCTGCGAGTGCAAAGATGAATGGCAGGACTCCTTCGAGTGGGAAATCGAAAAGAGGGAAAAAGGAAGACAAGACGGATGGACGGGCTGGGCCGAGAAGTGAGAACGTTGTGCTGTCAAAAAGTGCGTTTTTTTGCGCATATGTATATATATGCATTGCTCACATCTTTTGGATAGCTATTGATTATATCAACGAGTTGATCTCGGAGCGTCAGGCTCTTGTGAACCGTCTGCATCGTGCGCGGGAGGCTTTGCCCCCGGGACATCCGGTAATGACCCCGTCTGTGGAGCAGCCTCTATGGGAGCGCGAATGGAAAGGTGGAGAGGGCAAGTACGATGCCAAGGCCGGCGATGAAGATGATGATGAAGAAGAAGAGAGCTCGTAGCAACGACAACGTCCGTCGTGCTTTGTTCCGACGGTCAATGTCAAGCGCGATGCTGCGTCGGAGAGTCCTGCGGCTTTATTCAATCCGGGAACAGTCCTTAGTCCCGGATCGGATCCCAGACTGGTCAACAACCCTGATTTGCTCCAATCTTCGCCAATCTCTCGGCTCTGCTGCAGCCATGGCGTCGTTCAAAAAGTAACGTTTCCGCTTATGACATGCTTTCCCCTACACACGAACATTCACGAACACGCATATAATATATTACACCATCATAATTTATTCCCTTTTTTTCGCTATATTGACATGTTGGATTATTAGGTTAACATTATAAGGTTGATTGGACGGGTTTCGGTTTTTTTTTTCGTAGAGTGGTTGTTGGAGTACGCGTATATTATGATCGGTAATGACTGTATGGTCGGTCCATTGTAGCCCTGGAATTTTTTTTTTAATCCTCTTTTCGTTTTGATTGGACATGGTTTCAAGCGGTAAATTACTACATGAGTTTAATGATTATCGTTTGCGGGCGTAGATCTAACGAGATCCAACGGAAATGAATGGGGCAAAACAAAAACAAATGCCACGTACCCGGATTGAACGAGTGACCTTCGCATTACAAGTGCGACGCGCTACCACTACGCCAACGCGGCTTCTAATGTTTTATTTGGAAATTTTACGTATACACACTTGGATCTCAGATCTGCGTCTCCGACGTGCTGTCACCTGCAACTTTCGTGCGAACCACTTAGGCGGCCCACTTGCATGCCAGGATCAGACTCGAAGGGGAAGAAACGTGCGCGTGAAGGCGAAGGTTCGTCTTCAAAGAAAAGGTTTAGACTGGTAAGTGTGCTCGTTTTTGTGGTTTTCTGCCAACATACTGACACTTGTGTTAGGATGGCACTTCGATCCGGACAAAATCGCATATCGAAGGGCCAGGCGTTTGGGCTAGCTGTGAGCGTTATTCCATTGTACATGCGTTTGTTCACCTTGCCCTCCAGGTATCAGAGGGAAGGAAAAGGGCGCAGTAGGAGAGTTATACGATGTATTCGAATCGGTGAGTGAGTTATAGAGATTACTCTGCTTTTCGCCTCCGTTGAATGAGTATCTTCTCAAGCTCGCGTCGGATATGTGGCCAGAAGATCCTGACGAGCTGGAAGAAGAAGAAGAAGAAGAAAAACTCAGTCTCGAAGAACAAATCGCTCGCGAGGTGTCTGCGATGAAAAGGCCGAAGAGAGAATGCCGGTTCGGTATGCTTGAATTTTCAACCCCAAGTGCCAGAAAGATCTGACCGTAGTTAGTCAATTGCCAGACGAACACTCAGTGCGGTTCGTACGTTCCAAATACAAGGGGGGGTTGTATATCTCTGACGAGAACTTTCAGTTGTTTTCATATCGTGTAAACCACCCGTGGATCCTGTCGAACTCGTCGTACAACACATCAAGAACGTAAAAGAGACGGGTGTTTCTCGGACGAGGTATGTACGCAGCCGTCATTCATCACGTTGCTTCTTGCTCATTTGTACAACTGCACCATCTGCGGAAAATCAAGATTCGTACAAAGACTAGTCCCAGTGTCAGATACATGCGCCGCGAACTTTGCAGACATTCAATCACTGTGTCGAAGAGTATTCGAGCCTTTCTTTGCAAAACATGATGACCGGAAGTTTACAGTAAGTGGCGTGTGGGTTGTTGTACAGTTTTTTGGGTAGTTGGCTTAATGGCCGCTTCACTGCAGTACAAAATTGAAATCAGGATCCGCAATCACACGACTCTAGACCGAATGTCAATCATCCAGACAGTGGCGCAATGCATTCCTGAAGGTCACACCGTATCTCTCACCGAACCAGAAATATTCATTCTCATCGAAGTTTTCAAGGTAAGTCGCCAATGTTTGCTATGTGCGTTAATTACAGAATAATTCATTACAGAACACGTTTGGAGTTTCGATCGTGGAGGGGTATTACTCTTTGGCAAAGTTTAACGTCATGGAGTTGGCAAATCAACAAAAAATGTGCGATGTAGAGCAGAAAGGACGCGTACAGGCGAATAAACAGCCTGACCCAGAGAAATCATAGAATGATTAACCTGTATGATGAGCACCTCTGTGCTCATCACCGTACTGCGTGAAAGGGCCATCCACGCCATAAGTTACTTGCCCCGTGCCTAAAGGCACGCTGGCATTGAAATATGGATAGGCCATAAAGGCCTGCTGGTTTTGATAACTTTGATACGCAAAGTTTTGCTGCTCCATGTAATAAGGGTTTACCGGCTGTATATTTGGAATCCCCGGTTGATCGCCGTAAGACGGGGAGTGCATACCCTGCCCCATAGTTGCCATCACAGGATAGTAATCGTGAGGATATGGAAATAATTGGCTTATATTGCTTACATCCATCGCCGTAAGCATGTTGATATATTCAAAATCGGCTTCCGAAGGCAGATTCCCGTCCGAATATTGGCCAGTCGATGTTCCAATGTTAGGTAGCGTGTCTGGGCAGTAATATTCAGTATCTCGGGTAGTCCAATTGCCGAGCTGCGTGCTTTGCTGCAGTGGCGTGCCATGATCAATATCAGAAGTTCCGCTTGTCGAGGCCGGGCTACGATGACGCGCATTTAGCCAACCTCATGAGTTTTTGTATGTAGACTTACGAATTTTCTTGAACAGGATAATTGATAAACATATTCTGATCACATTGATTCGGCGCAGGAGACACTGAGTCTACTCGAAAGAAGTTTTTCCTCGCGGGTGATTTCCTTTTTCCTTTGTGAAGAACCTTCACGACTACATAATTGACTGAGCATAAAGTCGTCCCGCCAGCAATAAGCGCTTACGATCTGGGCTCGCCCCACGACCCATCTGTTGGATACGACTGCTTATCTGCGTCGAAGTCCGCGATATCCCAGTTTTTTTGTAGATATAATTCGAAACAAATCTACACCGAGGAGCGTTTCCCGCGTCGCTTTCACCATCATACGCTCGGAGAGCTGCACATTGGTCGATAGGGTCAATGGTTGAAAGACCTTCGGCGTGAAAGTATTTACCCTCAACAAGACAAGCCTCCCTACCAAAAAATCTTGTTGGAACCGCTTTTGGATTTTGTTGATATAATAATACTCACAGAGCATGCGTCCAAATGACCTCGCCCGTTACTTTGTCTTTCTTTCTCGTTGTTCGTGTCGGAATCTCGCCCGCCGAGAATTTATTTGAGCTACGCAGTTGACGACTTGAAGGATTCTGAGAAGGGGTGGACATCGTATCTCATGCCAAAGAGAAAGTATGTTGGAAGAATACCGTAGCCTGAGGATGCGGGGTTCATTTATACCTCGAGTGCCCACCGATGCCAAAGCGGTGTGGTGACAGGTTAACCCGATTCTGAGATACCGACCCCATCCTAGATCGTCGGTACGGACGCTGCGCAACATAAATGGAATGCTTACCATAAATGGCAGGTAAGGGAAGGTATGACGCAAAACTCAGAGCACCGATATCCGGTGACATTCGCTATCGGTGCACATTTACCTTTGATTCTTGCAACGTTGCGTCTCCTAAGCACCACGATGAGCTCGATTGCCCTTAAAGCAATGCGAAAGAAGTCGGATGTCGACCATCTTGAGAGATAATTAAACGTCTCACACAGCAAGGCGCCGCTGAGAATCGGAGAGCATGGTTAATCTAGTTAAAATTAGAAAGCCGAAAATTTACCGTTGTACATTTCGAGGAATGTTCCTGTCGCGTGAAAACGCGTTGAACACCGGCGGTTCATACAGCAATCCGACCACGCCGCTGCTCTTCACGCGACTCGAACTCCAGGAAGGTAAATGCGCACAGCCCAAAACGCAGCCATGCGCTTCAGGGTTACGCCTAGATGTGATAAGCTTACTAAATCTGAAATTGAAAGAAAGATCCTGCATTGAGCATGAAAAAGGTCAAAAAATGGTTTTTGTACGCAAGAGAGCACCCGGTGTTGATTCTTGGGACAAAAAAATGGGCAGACTCTTGATTTTCCCTCGAATTTTCATAGCCTTATTGTCTACAATAAGAGCGTGTTATATTATCTCACAGAGAACAAAAGTAAGAGCGTTACTTACCCAATCAAAGAATACAAAAGCATCTCCCCGCGTTTCCTTTTTTGGACCGCGTTGTTTGTTGCTAACGTAATGCTCCCCCCGCTCCCACCACGCGATGAACACGAGGCGCTTTACAGCCATCGATCGCGAGTGAGGTTGTAAGTCCCCACTATGACCTAGGCGATGCGGAACGTGTTATTGAGCAAGTTTTTGCTTTGACATGCAACGCGGCCTAAGGCTATGAACTAAGAACCATTAGAAATTCTATGCCGCGGACGTCGGTCCCCTCGTCAACGCGTACGTTCTCCATGAGGCGCGATGCTGTAGACGTCGGTCGGACCATTGGAGTCAATGGCGCGAGCCCGAGCATTTTGCGTTACGTTGTACTAGCGCCAGGCGGGTCATTTTTGGGACAAGTAGTCGTCAGCCTTCACTATATATGTCACAAAGGACTAGTGGGACTCCCTGTCTTTTTCTTTGCCCTCGATGCCATTAATAGAATTACCGATGGTCCGGATAGCAGTGTTCTGAGCTTTGACTTACTGCCGCGTGTGCTACGCCTACAATCTCTCAATATCGCGATGTAATCGATAGGCACAAATTAGGCTTACTTCGGATATAAGATGTTGATTCCATCCGGTGCATATACATGTACCTACAATACACCGGACTGGCGCTTACCACCGAGGTCATATAACCCGTTAAAGGACTTGGTTTTCTAGAAAACGAGAATGACCAATGATATGAAGCGCGCAGGGCGCGGAAACCTAACCCCAGCGTTTAATCCAACGCGCCGCACATTGAGGAAAAATATTGCACCTTCAAAGCTCAAACTGGACGAGATCTGTGAGGATAATAACGTGTTTATCGTCGGTAACGGGTGGGAGTTAGGCCTACGCCGTGCCTGCTATTATTACAGTGCGCGCGATGCAACCTGTCGCACCACGGCGCATTAATTGTTGTACAACTTGTATGTGCCGCTCAAGTCGGTGTACCATTGCCGGAAGATACGCCCATAGAGCGCTGCGGAGATATGGGAGTATAAACCACGGCGTGACTCAACCACCGTTGGGCGCTTCGCCTACAGGGCTCAACTGATCTTCTGGCGCCTCGGATCGTCAGAAGCCCCGTACGCGTGGAATGACTTGCGAGATTAACATTTTTTGTCCAAAAACGGTATGGCGCTGAATACAGTAATACGATGTCTTGACGTATTCAATAGTATTAGTATCTCGTCACCTTTTTCATTGCTATGTCGTGAGTCATTGTGGGACGGGCCTGAGACTTTCACGTTTTCACATTTCATATGCAGCGATCGTGAATCATGGTAAATCTGATAGTTGGTGGATATGTTGGGTGTGGTATGTGGAGAGTCGTATAGTTGTGAATACCTCTGGCCAGTCAAAACGAGTCAGGCTTGGGGTCGCGTGCCATTATATAGCAGCGACCTTGAGCAAGAGTTTCTGTTGTACCTATACCATTGTCATCTATCCGACTGCTTCAAGAATTTTTTTTTCCACCACTATACCTTTGAGGTTAAGCAAATGAACCTCAGTCTCCTATGGCAAAAGATGATCTTCCTG